GGGGAGGGCGAATCAATCTCTTCTCCTCCCCCCCCCCCCGGGGGGAATTGTCAGAATCGGGCCTCCGGCAACGTCAATCAAGACTCGCGGGGCAGCCCGGGGGAGACGCGCCGCCTGGCACACCGCCCGCCCCGTCGGGCCAGGGAGAGCGAGCGAGGGAGCGCGCTATAATAAGGGCGCCGCCGGGCCGCCCGCCAGCCCGCCACTCTGGCCATGGAGCTGAGCGGGGGCTGGACGCTGGCCCTGCTGCTGGCCGCCCTCTCCGCCCTCCTGGGGCTGCTGGCCGGGCAGCGGAGGAGGAGGAGGAAGACGGGGCGGCTGCCCGCCGGCCCGCCGCCTCTGCCGCTCCTGGGCAACCTCCTGCAGCTGGACCCCCGCGCCATGCACCGCTCGCTCGAGAAGGTAAGGCAGCCGGCCTCGCCTCGCCCCTCCCCGCTCCAGTCGCCAACCTCCAGGCGGGGGCCGGAGATCTCCCGCCATTACAGCCGCGGTCACATCCCCGGGGGAGGAAACAGAGCACCAGACCCATTTCCTACAGGGTCCCGCCCCTGCTGCCAGGCCCCGCCCCCTAAATCTCCTGGCAATTTCCCAACCCAGAGGTGGCAACCCCAGCTGGCTGGCTGCTTCTGGGGGAGGGGAGACGGACACGGACTTAGGCAGTGTTCCCTCTAAGCTGAATTAGTGTGAGAGCCAGCTCACCGTTTTTTAGCCTCCAGCTCACACATTTCTGCCTTAGCTCAGGAAGGACGGGGCTCCAGAGCAAACTGATTGATGCAGCGGCCAAATCGCTCGCTGGCTCCCAACTCACAAAGTAGGATTTTTGCTCACCAGACTCCACGGCTTAGAGGGAGCATTGGACTCCGGGACCACTTCATTGGCGCTCAGGCTCTGAGCAGGTTCCCCCCTGGCCGGTTTTATCCTCACATTGACAACCCTGTTTGGTAGGATGGGCTGAGAGAGTGAGTGGCTGGCTGAAGGCCACCCGGTGAGCTTTGGAGCACGGTGTAGGATTTGAACCCAGGTCTTTGACTCCTGACCAACCTGGTTCAAGAGGAGTGCTGTCCAGCAATGTGCCAGGCAGTGTCCCCTCTAAGCTGAGTTGGTGTGAGCCAGCTCACGGTTTTTTAGCCTCCGGCTCAGACATTTTTGTCTCAGCTCAGGAAGGGACGGCTCCAGAGCAAACAAATTTATGCAGCAG